AGAGAGTAGTAGTAGTATATATATATATATATATATATATATATATATATATATCCGTAGATGTATATACCTCATACGCGCTTCCAAAATCGGACCATCCGCGCTTCAGCCAAGGGACATAGCATTCATACTAAGAAAAGCGTGTCGAAAGCCATCGCGATAAGTATGCGAATCGAGGGATCTGATCTTTATCCATCATCTTCCTTCAACCTGCAGGATCGCATAAATCCCCGGAAGTGTTTTGCTCCCTTCAGCAGCCCAGTCGCCACCACGACCCCGCCATATGGGAGACCCGGGGATGAAGCCAGCATGATTGTACACGTCCCCAGTGGCATCGGCCGGCCATACTCTGTATCAAAACACGACGTCATTTTCTTCCATGCCATTCAACTATACATACCTATCCCTTCTAACAAGTATACCTCCGTCTGCAAGTGACAAGCTCGTCGATGCAGTCAGTGTTTGGGTCGCATAGCCGCACGTCGGAGTGGAGAGGCCACTGCGCTGCATAGACAAGAGAGGGCTTGCTAGTCGAGAGAAAACCCCTTCGCCTTTTCGGACGAACCCTGGATTTCTGCACTCGGGCCTGCTATCCACAGGACATACTACGGTACCTATAGGCTCGCAAGAAAATGTCAATGTTCACCGATGGAGATCGGCGCCAGTTTCAGGATGAGGCTGTCTGCCACTGGGCTGCGCGGTTACGACAGCCTTGCAATCCCTGGCGTTTGAAGTCTTATTTAATGATGTTATGGCCCCCAATCGCTTAGCCCTTTCGCCTGCAGCTCCAGCTCGCCTCGCAATCGAGGAGGTAAGTAGTAGGTCAGCAGACCTGGCTTCCGGATCGGAAAATCTACTTCGGCTGACATTTTCAGTATGTCTTGGGTGTGGAAGCGAGAGGCTATACACTGATCGGTGGCAATGACCCCAATTCGGTCTTCACAGAATCTTCACAGAAGGAAAAGGTGCCGTTTGCTTGTCGCCCGACCTGCGTATTTACTGTAGAAGCCGGTCACGGTTCTTCACAGAGCACAAGTCTTCATCGCCAAGAGGACGGTGTGGAACCTGTGATAGGTGTCGATCGGGATACGGGAAGCGTGTTGGCATCGCCGTGGTGATCGTGGCGAGCAGGCCACGCATTCTCAAGTACCGGTGCATAAGCTCATATATAGCTCTATATAAGCATGAATCAGAGGATGAAAGTCAAGAGCTTAGATGCCATCTTATTGCCATGGGCCGGGCCATGGGCAACCACTCCACCACCCGGCAGTCACTTGGTTGCAGTATAGTCGGTATGGGAACCAACTCCCCGAGGCGTACATCCCTGGATCTCTAAGCTCAGCATCGCTAAACTTTAGAATCCCCAGCTTTCCTCTTTTGACCGATCAAAATATTCATTCCTCGTATGGCTAAGTCTCGTCATCCCCTCCCAATTTTGCACATGGCGTATATCCATCCGGGCACAAAAGGAAGTATCAGCAGTATAGATCATATCAAATGCATTATATGCCTCACTTTCGTACCCCACAGCGAGCGGTTGATCTCAAAGCATGCTGGACACTGCTATAGCAACACCAGATCACATACTATGCGTCTATCGTATACGCACCTTGTCTATCCAAATCGAAGTCTGCTTTCTCCGCTCAATGTCATCATACACATGATATCCAGCTCTGCCTTACACAACTCCTATTGCTTATCGTTACTCTTCATCTTACACGAACACGCACCTCTCCTTCTCTTCAGCGCACCGAACAATGATACATCGTCCTGCAATCTGATAGTTCCTATGCCTGCTAGCTTATCTTGCAGTGCTCTACCTACACGAAATGTAGTCCCAACTTTCCGTTGTCGTCAAGCAAGCCGGAAAGCCTCGAAAGGAGCATCGGTACGGTACGTGCTAGTGCTGGCCAAACGTGATGACTGATATCATCAATAGAGGGAGGAATCGGCTCTGCCCGTCACGCCGCGATGTTCCGCCTCTTAGTTCAACTTGATACACTCGTTCTTAACCGTACATTACTCTATCGGGTGCGACCTTGTATGTATATCTCTACTCTGCGCCTCGCAGGCAGACCTCACGTATTGATTGTACTGTGTTTTTCGAAAACGCTACAAGAGGGAAGGAAAGATAGAGAGGGGGCGACAAAAACGCGTCGATCCGTCGTGCTTATATCGAAAGTACGGAATCCGATGATAAAAAGATCATCCGTCTTTCCACTCCGCACTGTGGAGGTAGGTAGCTCTCTCGCTTAAGTAAATATTCGGGTCCCAAAAAGAACCAACATCCCCCTCCCAAAAAAAAGTGAAATAAACCAAAAAGAAGAACCAAAGAGTTATGGGCGCCTACCATACTTTCAATTCGAGACATGTTGTATTGCGTTTCCTCCAGATCCCCTCATAGACGCACCCAAGACGCCATTTTACGGTGCAAGTGAAATCTCGTGGCCGCCACTGTGAGGCAAGACAGGAGATATGACCCAGCGCGAGTTAACGAGCTTAGTTTTGTGCGATCGGCTTGCGGCTTGTTTTTTGCTTTGCTCAGTTGTGATTGTCACGTATCTCTTTTGCTCGCAGCGCGCTCAAAATATGGCATCACCAGCCAGCTGGCTGGGAACTAATTGCCCTGGAGCTCACTCGCTTCTCGACTCAACGAGCTGCGAAGATATCTTTTGCTGATCCATGTCCTAACAGCCATCACCAGCCTGGCCTCCGGTCCCACGGGAGAAGAAGCAGTGACATGGAAGAAAGACGGAGCTATCCTGAAGCCAGACATCCGTCGTCAGACAGGCCCAGAAAAGAAACATCGCCCTCAGCAGGCATGGGACTTGTGAGGGAGGTCTCAGGGGCAGTGATTGCGAAGCCAATGTCAGGCTCGATGAGCGAGGACGTCAGCGTATCTCAGACTGCCACGTCCCCAGATGTCGAAAGTCCAGACCGATCCTGGCGCCTGTTGGCAACTAGGAAGGGAAACGAGCTGTTTGAAGGTGGGCTAGGACGTCAAAGAAGGTATGGTGCGGCCTGTGTCGAGACTTCTGGGGGCTCGAGGCAGCTGATTGAAGGGAACGTTAACCTAGCCATCCACTCGTACTTTTCTTGAAGCTACGAACATAAGACCCAGGGCCGCTTTTGTTTTGATGAGATGGAGCGAGGCTCGCAACTGTCGCGGGGTCATGCCCTTCCAGATATTCTAAAGCAAAGCTTTCCCTCCACTGATCGACATTTGTATCTCAGCCATCACGCCGTTCTCACAGAGTCTAGAGAGCAACGAGTGATCGGAAAGTTGCTCGGTCATCTATAAGCCGGCTGAGAGCCAAGCTTCAGCAGCTGTGAAGAAAGAGATATGACTGGAAGTGCAGCTACTCTTGGTCACTTGGCCAGTATCATGCTCCCAAACAACCTTCACTACCACTCACTCCCTCGATACAATGTTTGGTGTGCCAAATGGACCGCCAGATGTGGTAGATGACCAAGTCATTGCAAAAATTAGCGTCAGCTCGCTGAGGTTGTGCTCGCTATCTTCTGTTTCTAAATATGAATTGTATATGATGGAAGCTACAACTGCTGACAGGACTAGCTTGCAGCCTACGCAGAGATCAAAGGTTCCTCGTAGCCAGACCAGTCTACTACGTTAATCGTAAACCGCATTCCATACACTCTGCCCGTCCCGTGGAGTCTGCAGATGCCGGTCCAGATGCGAATGGTCCGTTGACACGCTTTCAGCTGTAGGCTTTTAGGATTGTCACTGCAGGAGTACCTATATGTCCTGGAAAATTATCGAAGATCCACCTTTCCGTAACGCACAGCGCCAGGTCTACTGGTGAGCACCAGTATCAACCAAGCCTCAATACATAGAGGCCTCCGCTTACTCACTAGACTTCTGCCTTGCCAAAAACAAGTCAAACTTTCAACTGGCCCATTATACAAGATCACCCATCGGTTTCCTTGGTTAGTTTTTCTTTTCTTGGAATTTATTTGCGACCTGCGATAGAAAATATGGAGAAGAACCTCAGGATCATAAATGACGAGTACCCTCGACTTTTCCCCTGATCCATAAAACCTTGCCAGCCGCTCCCACACCCTTCGACCATCTTCCAGGAACAAAACACACGTCGAAACTCACAAGTCGACTACGAGAGAGTTTGAACCTTATCCGTAGACGCATCATGCACAGCATTATAATAGCTTTTATTCAAAACCTTCGAGTGCACTCTCGTCTGGCTGGCCCCATCGCGGGTATTCTCAATGACACTTGATACAGCGCTGAGAATCTTCACGACCGACCTGGATGTCCCTCGGGCTGTCCAGAAAAATGTCGCAGGGCTTCTCGATGCTGCCAGGGATTTGATCGGTGTGAGGTACGAGGTACGAGTTTGACAGCCCGGCCATTGCAATGTTATCCTGCTTCGGAGCTCTGCACCCGGCTCTTGAGAATCGATTTCGTGGTAAAGAAGCGCATTAAACACTGGTGTATATTCGGAAGAGAAGAGGGTGCCGCTGTTCCTGTCCAGAGGCGGGTGAGCTCTTTCCGTAGGTGGCTCAATATCCTTATGACCTCGATTTCGAACTCTCCGTCTCGGCAGGGTACCTAGATTGTAACTTTCTGGCGGAGACTCTTGTTGCATAGCGTGGCAATTTTCAGATTTTCAGCCATATGCTACATTCGATAAGCACTAGAGCGAGCAAGTCTCTTCAAAGCCTAGAGAAACATCATGTCTTGTTAGATCATGCTAGCAGGTCTTCTGAAGTGTTCACAAATATGATAATATACATTCCTAACTGTTGGTACACAAGTGTTTGATAGTACTATCGGTTTGGGTATTAGTTGTGTTGTAGATGTCTGGTATTGCTATACTGGTAATAGCGGTCCTTTAAAGGGATCGCGGGTGCACGTGCTACCTTCACGTACCAAGTCCATTATTACCTTTATCGTTCTTTCTATTCTTATCCGCTGCATGCTTGTAAAAGCCGTTGTATTCCGACACTAGCAGTTCTTTACTTGTTGTAAAGAACGCTTTAATTATACTTATACAAATTCTTGCGTCTCGAAGTTCTGCCGAACTTCATACTTCTTTTATTACTCTCGATCCACTTATCTTTCAATACGCACTTCTAGCGTATTGCAATCGATAAAGCTTTCTAAAGCTTTATTCGGATTTGCTTTAATCATATAATCAGCTAGGTTGCTTTTCCCGTCAATTTAGCGAATTTCGGCGATCTCTTTGCGCTCGTAAGATTATCGTAAAGCTATTACATCGATCATAAGCTTCTTTTCTTTAGTTGTGCCGAGCTTTACTAAACACTTGTAAAGTAAGTAAGAGTCGGTAGCTATTACTATTAGTATTTTTAATAACGAGAGTTGTTCGGTGATTTAATTTAAAGTAGTATTTAAAGCAATTGCAATATCTACTCTAGCTATTATTCCGAAGATTTCTAAGGCTAAAACACTTTTAATAACTCTTTTACTTTTCGTAAAGCTGTAATGCATTACGTTGCTTGTAACCTTAAAGGTCTTTTCGGTCGTACGTGTTTCGTTCTTTAAAATAATCACGTACTTAAGTTAGCTAGATAGATCTTTATTGTTTGCAAAAGAGCTATCTACGAATATAAAAAGCTTAGCTAAGCGAAGGTCGATAAGAACGTATTTTAGCTTTTTGCTTTAGTTGCTAATTATCTATTAAAAGCACTTATTAAAGGCTGCTACTTTATCTTTATCGGGGTCTTTATGCTAGGCTGCTATTAAAAGAGCAAATAAAGCTTTAGGTTAACAAGTAAAAGCAATATATGCTCCGCGTACGCGCTGCTCGAAGTACTTTTGTTTGTAATTCAGTTTATTAGAGACGAAAGCGAGCTTTTAGCTTTGCTGTTTTTGTATAAAGAGCATAGTATCGTCCTTTTGTAACTTTAAAATACAGTTATTAAACTTAATATTGATGGTATAAGTCAGCTTAGTCTTATCTTTAGCTTTTAAGCCGGCCTTTTTAAGTTTTAACTTCTTTTTAATTGCGAATCGATCGTCGGCGAAGTAATAAGTGTCGTTTACTTGTATTCTTACGAGCTTAAATATACTTTTCTTAATACAAATCAAAAAGCAAAGGTCGTAAGTCGAAGTGATCGTAGATAGCTTTTCTTTATAATAAGTGTAGTACGTTGATTATTAAAAGGTGTTTGCTTTAAGAATCTTATATAGCGCTCTTCGGATTTTTATGATTGTCTTTTCGAAGTAAAACTTTATTATCTCTTTCGATAAGCGTGTTAAAATAAGCTTATTTAATAAGTGATTACTTTAAGTATAAGCTTGCGTAATATTACGAAAGTAAAAGGAAATTCTTAGCAAAGAGAGTGCTAGCGCTAATGTAATAATAAAGCGTTAGCTCGAGCGTTATATAGCAAAAGATTAAGTAAAAATCACTCTTTTTCTTTCGTCGGCGAAAGCTTATATAACGAGTCGCGATTTCTCGAATAAAGTCGCTATTTTCTTGCTTTTAAGCTCGTTGATAAGACGAAAGTTAAAAATACGCTCTTTTGCGTGCTTTACAAAGTCGTATAAGATGAATTTAAATACGCTTTATGCAATTAAGCCTTTGATCTTACGCTATTATAAGTCTTCGAAAATCTCGTTAAAAGTGGTAATTATACTTTCAGCTCGTAGCTTCGTAGCTAGCTTACGGTTTATTTGCTCTTTCCGAGTCAAGAAAGTGTTTATATCACTTGATATAATAAAGAATTGCGCTAGCTTTTTAGCTTTTGTATAATAATGCTTTAAAGGTCGTTTGTTTTTGCTACTTCGACGTAGCGCTTCTTTTACTTGTTCTATTAATAGTCTTTTCTCTTCGAGATGCTTTTCTTAAGCAGTATTTTCTTAATAATATAGCTTGATTACCGTAGCTTTAAATTAGATTGCTTTATTATTAACTTAGACCGTGCACGTATAGCTTTCCGTCGCAATAAAAGTATAAAAGCTAGTCTATTGCGCGCGCTAGTCCTTTTTCTTATCTCTTTATACTTTTACTTAGCTTTATAAAAGGAGAGCTAGCGTTTTAATCGTAAAAGGTCCGTTGCGCATATTTAAAGCGTTTGCTACTTGTCTTATAGCTTGTAATCTTTTCACTTTCGATATAGCTTTTTTAATAGCTTTTGCTTTAGTAGTAGCAGAAGGAGCTAGCGGATTTAAGTGAGTTATGCGAAGGTAAGCACCGAAGATTAAAAAAGTAAGTATTAAGCTTGCTAGTCCGGCGGTATTGTTAACGGTTTTAATTGCTATTTGCAAGATTTGCTTTTTAATCAATCTTAAGTCTTGCATCTCTTTCGAGATGATTTCGTAAGCTCGTTGTAAAAGTTGATAATATTTTTCTACTTTTCTTACGCTATTATAAGCTTTCGTAAGCATTTCGGTGATATCGATAAACATCATTTTAACTAGACCGCGGAACTTAGCTATTGCAAAGTTCGTTTTTAAGTCGTGAATAATCAAGTCGGAAGGACTGAAGTAGCTATTAATCTAACATTTTTTAAGCGCGTTTTAAGTAGTGATAGCCGATATATCTTTTAAAAAGCGCTTAGCTTAGAAAGTAGTCGCTAAGTCGACGACGTGTAATATTAATTTACCGTTTAAGTGCATTACGTTTATAATAATAAAGTAATTGAACTTTAAGTTATCTTTTAAAATAAACTTATATCGGCTCGAGGCTGCATTATGCATTTGATATTAATAGCAGAACCTTTCGATCTTCTTTAAAGTGTCGAAGTCGATATTATCGTAACCGCTAAGGTTAAGAACTTTTTATAAGCGTAAAATAGATAAGTGGTCGAATCTGCGGTGTAATTAACGTAGTTCTTGTTCCGTAAAGTGCGCGTCCGTAAAAGCGTCTTTAAGTTGTAGCATAAAGAATAAGTAGCTTTATTTACGAATTATTAGAATACGCTTATTGCTTTAAACGAGCATATTATCAAAATTGTTATAATAGACTTAAAGTCGATTTATATCTTCGAGTAAGATAAAGAAAGAAGTCTTTATATTAATAATATAGAATTCGATGAGTTTAAGAAAGGTATCTATTATTACGGAGCTTATAATACGTATAGTATTGCTTTCGAACTTAATAATATTCTTGTCGGCCGTTCTTCGGTTGATTCGAAAAAAGAAAAGCTTGCTTAAAGCTTTAACTTGTTGCTTTTTTGCAATAAAGAGGTTAGCTGCTTTAAAATCGAGAATAAACTTTTGGAATTTATAAGCCGAGTATCGGTCGAGTAAAAAGTGCTTTAAAGAAACGATATTCGAAAGTGGCTTGAATAGGTCGATAAAAGTAAAAGTGTAATAGGTTGCATTCTCGAGCAACGCTATTATTAAGTGTTAGCCGTTAATAGTTCTTAATTTAATAAAGAATTAAGTTGCGGCCGTTGATTGTTAATCAAGAGTGATCTAAAGTTGCTAATCGAAGCTTTATATTGTGGTGGAGTTGGGGCTCTGTATTTGTTTTGTCCATGTATATAGTACTGATGCTAGGCACCTTTGTCACGTGGGTGCGCTGCATGCTCTGGCCCTGCTAGGCACGTGGTTAGGTCACGTGCAGGCTCCTATATAGACGAGTAGTTGGTTCCTCCCTGAACCAGCACCACCTCATCACCACACAATACAATACACGTACTCATAGCACACATTCGAGTGTCCTTCGATCGTCCTCCTTCTCCCCCCTTATTCACCTACGATTCTACCATGGCTATATTCATATATATCTCTTGATTTGACGTTGGGTATATGTCGGAGCTCTTCCCCTCCACAATATTCTTTTAATTTATATGAAGTAGTAAGTATACTTTTTAAGTCTTACGTCTTTCGTATAATATTAAGCTTAGCGTCTTTAGTTATCGTAAGATTTCTTACGCTCTTCGCTATTATACTATATAAAGAAGTGACTTAATTCGCCGCAAACAAAACAGCGTTTATTAGCGCGATCAGCACGAGTTGTTGCGCTTTTTCTTCTTTTGCTATTACTTTTGTAATTGCTTCGATTATTCTAGCTTCGATTGCTAGTCCGATTATTTCTTTTTTTAGTATAGCTTTTAAGTTTTAAAGCTTTTATTACTACTACCGTTATAGCCACGGCCTTTATTGCTTTCGCTGCTTTTGTATTAGCGGTCTACGTAATAGACTTTATTTTCGTATTAGTCTTTCGATTCGATAGCATCGATAAAGTAAGCGGTAAAAAGTCTAGTCGTCGTAATAATAGCAATCGATGATCGTAATTAAAAGACGAAAGCGGTAGTCGTAAGTGCGAGATTGTATTAAGTAAACGCGCATTTAAAAACGCTTTGTACCGCGCTTAAAATTACGTTTCTTAAAGCTTTATCGAAGTGATATTCGAAAGTCAAATTGCGCTAAATAAGAAAGAGCTTTTTGATTATTAACGTAAAGTATTCCGCTTTATCTTTATCGGCGTTCTTCTTAAGACTTATTATTAATTAAAGTGTAAGTGATCTTTATTCCGATAAGTACTTTTGAATAGACTTCGAGACTTTAAACTTAGACTTTATAAATGTAATTATTATTTAAAACTTTATGTTTTTATCGTAGATATCAGTCATATAGTATTAATATGCTTCGTCTTTAAGCATTAAAGAAAAAGCTATTGCGTAGCTTACTTTATCGCTTTAAAAGATGCTTAAGCGTATGTAGTTTTTATAAAAAATCTTAAGCTTATCGGTAAAGACTTCGTATTTAACGCTTTTATATTTCTTTTTTGTATCTTAATATACTTTCGAAAGGTTATTAATCTGTTTGACGTAATCGTTAGTTCTTGCTCGAAGTAGTTTAAGTAATCTAACGTAAGAAAGGACGGTTGTGTCAAGTAGTAAAAGGATTTAATATTTAGTATTAATCTTTTTATTAAAAGTTAGTATCGAAGTCGAGAAAAGACGTGTGGTTAATAGAATAGCGAGGCCTCGAGTATTAAAAGGGTCACTTAATAAAGTGCGGTTAATACTTGTAGCTGATCTTTTTTGCTCGATTATAGATTCAGTTGTAAAATCGATTGCAAGTTTAATTATAAGCTCGATTGCAAGTGTAATAACAGATGCAAGTGCCGCCGGCGTAATAGTAAGTATCGTTATTGCTTTATCTTTAGCGTGCTACTTTTGCTTAAGTGCTATTTTCTTAGCTTCTTTAACCTTTTGTTCCGCGATGATCTTGTTCTTAGCATCTTTATAAATAAAAGTCTATAGCTTTAGCTCGTCTTCTTAGCTTAAAGCGTAGAAGATTGATGCTTAAGAGATACTTTTAGCTAGTTTGACTTATACTTTACTTATTACGAAGTGTTTTCGAAGCTAGCGGTAGATCGATCGGTAAGCGTGTCTTTATATTTTAATCGTTTATTTATTAAAATCTTGTAAGAAGATCTCGAAAAAAGACTCTTTTTGCTTGCTATTATACGTGTCTTTATAGCTTTCTAAACATATAGCGATATAGCTATTGATTATAAAGAGGTCTATAACTTAAGCGAGGTTAATAAAGTCAAAGTTATATCTTTAAGTAAGAAGGTTGATCTAGCACTTTAGTCTTAGTAATACAAGTCTAGCTGATACGTTCGGTGTAGCCGAATAGACGGATATATTAGTAGCGAATTCGTATGTGAAAGAAGGAATTCGTAGTAGTTGAAAGTGAAAAGGTATAGTAATAGATCTGCTAGCTTATTAGCTAAGGAAATAGTTCTTTAAAAAAAGTAAGAATCGTGCTCGTAAAGAGTTGTCCGCTTCTTAGATCTTTCTCGCGCGTGATAGACGCAATCGATTTTCGTAAAAGGTTGTTCGATTTTCGATTCTTAATCGAAAAACCAGTGGTAAGTATCGTTAGCACAAGATGAAAAGCGAAGTTAATAAAAACTCTTTAGACTTAATCTTATCTTTTCTAGACCTTGCGAATCTATAATTTATTCAACTATTGATTAGTGTTAGTACACAAGTGTTTGATAGTATTATCGGTTTAGGTATTGGTTGTGTTGTAGATGTCTGGTATTGCTATACTAGTAGTGGCGGTCCTTTAAGGGGACCGCGGGTGCACGTGCCACCCTTACGTGCCAAGTCCACTATTACCCTTATCGTTCCTTCTATTCCTATCCGCTGCATGCTTGTAGAGGCCGTTGTATTCCGACACTAACCTTTAAATTTCCGGTGGCAAGCCAGTTTTGATTCTGACAAGCTTGTCAAGAGCCTTTCCACTGTCCAGTGCCCAGCCAGACGAGACATCGACCTTGTAGTACTGACCCTTGACCTCGACCATCATCATTCCATCCCTCGTCCAAATTCTCTTCATCGCGATAAACATCGCAAACGCGCCCTTGCTCATCGCTGTGCCCATACGTCGAAGTGGAAAGGTCAAAAAGTGCTTTCTATAGTGCTCCTCCAATTGCTCCTTCTCTAACGCCTTCTGTCGCTGGATCTGCTTCTGCTCCTCTATGCTGAGCTTCTTGTCCAGTGGAACGAATCTGCACGGCAGCTCGACCTCATTCGCCTTGACGTAAATCTTTCGCGCCGGGAAGAAGGGAATGGGAAGCATCTTCTTCAACTCGATTTCGATTTGCAGTTCGGGCACAGTCGCCTTCTTGGACAATGTCTTTTGAGCGACGCTAACACTCCTAGGAATAGCTGAAATCGATCTCACTAGCCTGGCCGGTCCGAGAATCAGCCATCCCCCCAGTGCTGCCATCAGAAAACTGATTCCTCCAAATGCGATTGGAACCCATTTCGAGATGTCGGGAGGAGCCATGATGTAATTACTCCAGAACGATATGGTAGCATAGGTAAAGCAAAACCCGGCGGTCCCATAACACGCAATCATGTAGGCTGTATGGGAGGGTGCTTGATAAAGAAGTGTAGGGTGCGACTTCTGGGCGAGTTGGGAGGCATAGGTTTGGTAGACCGTGTGTGAAGCTGGCGTTGGGCCTTTTATGGGGGTGATTGGAGTCAGAGAGGGCTGCTTTTGAATGATCTTCCTGGCCGTTTGAGATGTATGTGTTTTCTTTGCAGCTCGCAGTATCTTGCTGGAAGAGAACAATCGAGGATGTTGGCAGGTCTTTGCTGGGAAGAACTGGACTGCTCGAGGGACTTTGAATGCACATTGGTGCCGCAAAAGGAGACCTCTTGAGAACGCCGACATCTGAAACAATCAGTCAATTAAGGGGTTCTGTGGGAAATTTTTGGGACTTGCCTCGAAGACATTCGCTTTTGTAAATAATTTCTCAGCCTTCTCGCCCGTCAGTAAAATGTACTCCGTAGCCTGATCGGCGAATCGGGCTTAAGCCCCACTAGCGTTGGTACATGGAATTTGCCGGGTCTCAACATCTTGGGAATTCTGAACTTCCGGCCAGCTTCCATACCAAGCTCAATTGAGCTCCCATTCTCTCTTCTGAATCATGGCGTCGCTCGTAGCAGCGTGCCGTCTGTCTGCCAGACTCACCGCTAGGCAATTGCGACAGGATGCCCCATCTCGAGGTTTGCTTTTCCCAACAACAAGAAAAATAAATTCACGGAACCAGTTACTGACGTATTGGTAGGCTTCCGTACATCGACATCATGTCTCGCGGCCCAGAATTTTACCATGCCAGCTCTATCTCCGACAATGACGGAGGGGAACATCGCAAAGTGGGCGGTTAAGGAGGGGGATTCGTTCGTGGCCGGCGACATCCTGTTGGAGATTGAGACGGACAAGGCGTCTATGGACGTAGAAGCTCAGGACGATGGAATCATGGCGAAAATCTACCAGGCCGATGGCGCTAAGGGCATTAAAGTAGGCATGCGGATTGGTGTCCTCGCGGATCCAGGCGACGACCTCAGCACCCTCGAGATACCCGCCGAAGAGAACACAAGCTCTCCTGCACCAAAGGAGTCCAGGCCTGCGCCCGCAGAGCCCAAATCCAACCCCTCGTCCAAATCTGCGAGCTCAGAATCCTCTCCTGCGCCTGCAAGGAAGTCTTCGGGTCCAGCAAAGAAGCAGACATACCCACTTCTCCCCTCCGTCGAGCATCTCATGCATGAGAACAAACTCGACCCCTCCACAATCGACCGTATGACACCCACAGGGCCCAACAACCGCCTTCTAAAAGGCGACGTCCTTGCATACCTAGGAACGATTCAGTCCGCCTACCCCGCGGAGCTCTCCAGCAAAATAAACAAACTCTCTCACCTCGACCTCTCCAACATCAAGCCGGCAGCGCCCGCCCCCAAGCCAGCAGCAGTAGAGAAGGCCGCTGCGCCAGTGCCAGAGCCACTCAAGAACCTGGAAGTCGCAGTACCGATCTCCATGAAGGCAGTCCTGGAAGTCCAGAAGCGAATCCAGAGCACCCTCGGCGTCTTCATGCCCCTTTCTACCTTCATCGCTCGCGCCACTGATGTCGCAAACGAGGACCTCCCCCGCCAGAAGGGCTACACTCCCTCCGCAGACGAGCTTTTCAACTCTATTCTTGGGCTCGACAAAGTCTCTTCGGCTGGTGTCAGGGGCACATTCACGCCTCAGATAAGTACGGTGTCGTCTGCTGCTCCCCAGGCGAAGATTGCCAAGAGCCCAGCGAAGAGCAACGATATCATCGATATCTTATCTGGCAAAAAGAGGGCCACTTCTCCGGTACTAAACGGCAGGCCGATGCCAGGTCTCCCGGACACAGTCAACGTGTTCAGCCTTTCTGTGCCAAAGGGCGACGAGCAGAGAGCCCAAGTCTTCCTGGATAGAGTGAAGACTGTTCTAGAATCCGAGCCTGGGAGATTGGTTTTGTGATTGCACTGCTTTGTATAATAGTCGAGCAAATAGAATGATTATTCCAATGCTTTCGGACCGCTCCTGTCATAAATCACAAAATCACGAGGTATGGCAAGAACAATAATCTTGTAGGCTTGTAGGTGGGTACGTTCTGGTCTCTTTACTATTCTACTGATCAACTCAAATTAGTGAATAGGTCTTCTTCCCGCGCCAAGTTCAATTTAAGCAATTGCTTCGTCGACTCTCAGCGCAGTCGTCCATCCTACCTCTTGTCGATCCGAGCAGCACACAAGCGAATCACCTTACCGGCAATGAAGGTTCCATGGTCCCAACTGAGCTTCCAGGCAGCTCGACTAAATCCTCAAAGTGGCCTCCCATGGCAGCGAAATTGTACAGGCCGCCAACAAGTACGCTCTCGCCGCCCTCCTCTTCCTCCTCCTCCTCCTCAAAAGCACCGAATCGCTGTCCCACCTGGCCCTCCACAATGGACTCGTCAAATTCACTCGCGACGAGATTCGTGCTTTTGTCTGGGGCGTTAGCAATGCGTGGCTTAATCGAGATTTGAAACCGGATGGGAGTGAAGACTCTCCCGGGGGCTACCGTGCTTGCGGCAGACAGTTTCCTAGCATTGAGAAGCTCCCCAGTGACACGCAGTGGCTCGGCGCCTCCCATATTTGCTTCTACCTGTGCTTCGACCTTGTTGTAAAGGTGGGCCAATTCGTCCTCGAGTTCTTTGACTCTGGTATGAATACATTGCGCTTTTGCTGCAAGGGCGTGAGCCATATCGACTGATCTCTTGACAAGCTTCTTGGTAGGAGGTGGCGATCGAGGGGGTACAGGTGGACGTGAAATCTGCTCATCTATCCCCGCGACCCTCTCGTACCCCGCTAGCGCCGGTCTTGGTGTACAGCACTGGAGGGACCTTTCTCCCTCTTTCATCGCTGTTTGTGATTTTAAACGAGGTATAGTCTCGGCATCACGTTCGCTTTGAGACAATGATCCCAGTCTGGACTTGGATTTAGAACTCCTTGGAAGCGGCCGTTCGAGCAGGAAAACGAATGTGAACTCGCGCGGGACGCCTCCCTCCTGCTGTGAATTTTCTTCCAAAGACCAGACAAGGGCAGTATCGGGAATCCTGGGTGATGATTGAAGACTGGGTGGGGCACCTGGGCAAGGTCAGCTTCCTGGAACTAGAAATACCTGACAATACACTAGGAACACTTCTGCGTCGAGTCCCATCGATCTGTCTCGAAGCACATGCCTGCTTCGGGAGACAAGGAGATCAGAATCGACGTACTCCGCGTAGATCCCTGACTGGGAAAAGGTTAGCAACTTACGTTCGTTGATAAAATATTCTCTACTGCTCCCTATCGCTTGAAAAGAAACATCCGGAAAAGAATAACGTACATTCTCATGAAGCTCCCCACAACCAGATCCTTCTCATAGCCAATCTTGGGATCTACCGTGGCCTTCGCAGGACCCTGTGCTACACCCAGAGAAGCACCGAGCCGCATGGAAGTCAGCAGCCACCCCTCGACCCCCACGCCATATCAACACACTGCCCGAGACTCACCTGGAAATTCCACCTCAGACTCGCACTGCTGATCCTCCCGTACACCATATGCGGCGCGAACCTCAACACTCGCAACGGCTCCCCGGCACCATCCTTCGCCGTGATCTCAATCACCGCACTGTTAAACCGGTGCTCCTCGCTCAGCGACGGGTGGAACGTGAACGCGATCGCCACAAACGTCACGAATGTCTTGGACAGGCGCTCGTCCTGCTGGTCCCAGTTCGCATCTGCGTGGATGTTGGGGGAGACGAAGACGCCGTTCTGGAGCCGGGTTAGATGGGCCGAGATGTACGATTCGCCGAAGAAGTGGCGCTCGTAGAGGAGGTTGTGCGTCAGCTGGTACTTGTGCAGAGGGATGTGCGTGGCGGTCTTGATCTTGCCGTGTGCTTTGACTGGCTGGGTGCTTATCCTGGAGATGGCTTCCGAAGTTGAGGGATCGGTTGTGATGCTGAGAGGTGCGGTGGGGGAGTGGGTGGGGGATAGTTCGGCCATGTTAGAATTAACTTTAGGTTGACTCCGTTCTCATGATTGATAATGACAAACTGACGATAGATAAGTGATGTTACTCATAGGTAAAATGGGTTTTACGAACTGGTATTTCGAGGGAGGTCAAAACCAGACCATTTATATTCACAGTTAGGTAGCCAAAGAGGAAAGAGCTTAGAGCGCCATTGCATATCCAAATGTCAACCAGGGAAGGAACTTGTGTACCTGAACTGACGTTCCAAAATGGAGACGATCAGGTTTTTAAACATTCGTCGCTATCCAGGCTGGCCTGGCTGAAAAGTCCCACCATCATTAATCTATGAACCGGTCGTTGTGATTTAGGCGAGCCCCTTCTCCCGTGCTACCAAAGGTCGAAGGAGGTCGACGTCCCCTGAATGTACAGTCTGGACTGAATTAGACCATCAGCATTACCGTATAAACCAGCTATGTGCCATCATGAGAAAGACAGTTCCTGGGAGGAGTATCTATCGCCAATTCTTGACTCGTCCGGAATCAATAAAACTGCCCCAACCTCTGCTGAGACTTCTTGGGGAGGATGCCCATGATATTGATTGCGCTTTCAATCTGGAAGCGACAGCAAGCGTTGCTCTTTTTCGAAGTTGAAATCGGGACTTGCAGGGGGACTTCGGAGCTTTCGACTCTTGTGAGGTTTGGCATGCGATATGCCCGAGAGATCCTCGCTGCGAACGGCCATCGGACCCAGCATTGACACTTCGGATATTCTCTAGTGGTGTACCGGTACATGTTGTCTGCGATCCCATGAATCATTCAAGCAGCATACCGTAATTCGAAAAGCCGTCGACCCTGGCTCTTTCGCTATGGAGCATCAGTGGCGGGAAGCTTGGCTTTCCTGCACGTTTTGACCCTCGCTACCCGCAGACGCATGAGATCCTTCCCACAGAGAATCCATTCTTAGTCTGTGATCGGCATCCATGTATGGCGTCTTGCAAGCATATGGTTGATCGACGTTGATCTAAGCTTCTTTAGACTACATGTCCACTGCGTACCGGTACCGGTACTTGCGTGGCTGACATGGATTGACCAGAGGGCATTTCGGAAGAAAAACGTGACCCTTCCCCCTTATGTTCAACAGCTTTCTGCAGCTCATTAGCATCGGCCCCAAAACGTCCCAAGGATGGCGGTGAACGCAAGCGGAGGGACGGGCTGAGGGCGTGTGGGTATCTAGTGGCGCTTTGGCTCTGATATTCATGTTCATAATCATGATCATGATGATGCGAGGGCGTTCTGTGCATTCAACGACCAGCTCCATCCACCCCTCTATACGGACACAACTGCATAGTAGTCAAGAGGTAGCTGAAGTTGAAACGACACGCGGTACAATTGATTTTTTTTTCAGATTGATTAAAATACTATAACTATAAACTCTCTCTCTCTATATGTATATACAACAATTGTCGATATAAATACTTAGTATTATAAGTACCTCAAAGGCATGACCCTCTTTCATAAAAGACGGTCATCGAACCGTCTAAAGTCAGGACTAAACCCTATTCAGGAATAGTGTACCGGATAGACCGTCCTATTGAAAGAGCCCGTTTCCTGGCCGTCCTCTGGCCCGCCCCGTCTAGATCTTTGAAACACGCTCATTACAGAGCTCACTCTAAAAGATTCAAACAGTCTATCAATCATCTCAAATAAGATACCATTAAGAATATAGAAACCCTTCTTCTAATAGTATCGTTTTTGATTATCATTTAATGAACCCGTCGCCAAGAGACTTCTCGGTAAGCGTCGGTTACCTTAAATTTAATTCGAGAGAATTGACCGACTCGATGTAGCAAAGGCGGGATAGTAAAAGCTGCCCTTCTATAGTAAATGGAAGATCAACGAACTATGATATTGTAGATATTCTTGTACAAAACGATGTGCCGCATCGAGTCTGATCTTAATCAATTAATCAAAAATTTTTAATTACAAGCTGTTATTCCTTTCTTATACTTTCCGACCTTACTAGTCCCGTGCTTTCAAAGGCGTATGTATATATGTCAGAATTGCCGTGTAAATACTAGATTAAGCGAGGCACGCGAAAATCGGACCTTTATCAAAACCTCTCAAAAGAATACGTGCATCACTGCCAAATTTTATCTAATAATTAATACCTTTTCTAACATCATAGATTAGATCATTTGTTTTTCGATCTAGGAAACGTTTTTGTTTAATCGATATTGTGGCTATCACTATATTCGAGGCAGACAAGTAAAATTGAATGAATTACTCTAGACAGTTTTTAGCTATACTTTTTTCACTACATTTTAACATATTCGGTCACCACAAATACATAGCTCTTTATATTTTTAGTCCAAGTTTGTCAAGTAAAGTTTTCTAAGCATAGCATATCTTTTTTTTTAATTGTGTATGTTAGGAGTTGTTGTTTGATAAGTGGTATACCGCTACTGTCCCCGCCTTGGTGGTGCCGACTACCTAGCTACCTACAGCAAGTCGGTCGATTCTTACGGATTAAATCTAAGGTAACCGGCGATTATCGCGCTGCCACGGGTTGTATATCGACGCTTTAAAATAGTTTACAATCGGAATCAGTGGATTTAGCAAAAGTTTGTCCAGTTAAACCCGCTCCCCTTGTAACACAGGTGGCGAGGGGGGGGGGGACGGTGGGAAGGGGTAGGAAACTAACGTAGTAAGAGGCACATTTTCCTACTTAATCGCTTACTAATCTAAGTTCTCAGTCGAAGTTCGGGGATGGCCCTGGGATGGCCCTGGGACGGCCGTAGGACGGTCCCAAAATGGTCCCAAAACGCTCGGGGACCGTCCTAAAACGGTCTCTCGAGGAAAATACGAGCACGTAATCGTCGGTTTCCTTAAATTTTAATTCGAAAGAATTGACCGACTTGCTGTAGCAAGTCGGCACCACCAAGGCGGGACACCCAGCAAGGCGGGACAGTAACGGTATACCACTTATTAAACAACAACTATTAATATAAATATTAAATAAAAAAAAATTCGTATACTCAAAAAACTTTGCTTTACAAATTTAGATTTAAAATATAAAAATGCACTCATTCTTAATGATATGATATATTAAAATATAATAAAAATATAGCTAAAAACTGTCTTGAATACTTCAAATTTACTTGTTTGCTACGAATATCTGAATAACTACAACCTAAATTAAAAAAAACCCGTCCCACAGATCGAAAATGGATGATCTCATGTATCATATTACTCAAGGTATTAATTATTAAATAAAAAGTTGGTAATGATGCACGTGTTCTTTTCCTAGGTTTAAATAAAAGTCCGATTTTCGTGTTCCGCGCTTATTCTAGTATTTACGCTGCAATTCTGATATATACCTACCTAGGTACCTTACTCATTAATAAAATCGAAAAAAAAATATATATATATATCAAAAGTAAGGTGTCTACCATTTTTACTACTTTAACTCAACACAATAAGCAGAGGAATAACAGCTTGGAATTAAAGATTTGGTTGGTTTATTAATATCAAAATCAATACGGTGCATCTTTTTATACAAGATTAACTATTATATAATAGTAGGCTTATTTTCTCTTCATTAAAAAAGCGCAAATTTTACGGTCCGGCCTTGGTGGTGCCGACCTGGCGCAGCGCCAGCTCGGGATTTTTCACAAATTAAATTCACGGTAACCGACGATTACAAGCGACGATGGTAGTCGGTTGAAACCATTTCATTGGCGCAATGCTTTGGATTTTTGGAATGGTCTCATTACAGGTTCGATTCCGATTCAGCTGTAGACCTAGGGTGATCCGCGGGCCATACCAACCTCCTGGGACCGTCTCCAGAAGAGATCATCATCGGACGATCAGCTGACTGTCCCAAAGCCGTGCGGTTCTCTTGGCTCCCCGCAAATTTGGTTACCGAGGGAAGACATCAATTTTTTTTTTTTTTTCCCCACGGGCATTTTTTTTTTTTTGGTTCGCCCATGTTATTTAAGAAAGGGCCCCCAAAGTTGCAACGTCAAGTCCTACGCTCAGTAGTATTTATTGATTTGCGTCGGGCGGGTGGCAGGCGAGGCCTGCCGCCCTGGGACCTCCCATGGGGTACGGCGACGTGCTAAGCTAAGGAGGTACCTATATATATACAAGACAGCCCGAGAAAGCATTTCAAGGTGGAGGAGCCGCGAGGCTGCCACCAACTGCGCCCTTCCCCTACGGATAGGATGGTGCAGGTCCGAAGCCCGCTACGGAGTGCGGAGGTACAGCGAACAAGAAGAAGTCAGAACATTCAACTCCAAGTCCAATGCCGCCAGTCGGTCGTCCGATCTCCTTTAATCTCAAAAGCCGATTTCCAATCAATAGCTTCCGTCGAGAACTCCTCCACCAGGTCCTCTTCGGATTCATAGCAATTGGCCCACAAGTCCAAATCGCCGCCGTTGACCACCTTCGTCGGAATGAGCATCTGCCACTGCCAATTGATCGCAAAGCGCACCGCTTTCTTGGGCTTGGACACTACTCCCATTGACTTGATGTAGTCCACGATGACCTCTTCGTCGGCGCCCCATAATTCTTGTCGCTCCTTCGGAGTCGTTTGGCTCCAAGATGTCGGTTGCCAGCCTTCGTCGATCTCTTTCGCCTTCCCCCCATCCGAAGTCGATTTTTCAAGAGATTTCGGGATGAAGACTTTTCCGATATCGCCCATCTTCCTCTCATTCGCTGCGACAGCACAATACCAATTGCCCCCTTTTTTTTCTTCTCTTTCATCATCATCATCATCATCATCATCATCATCATCTTCATCTGGCAATCCACCAGGTTCGTTCACTATTTGGATCATCAGCTCCCGCGTAACAGATGGCGATCGAGATGGATCATCAGCTCACCCAGATACAAGCCAAGTCCCAATCGAGGAGAGTCTAGGGAATCCTCTCCATCTGGCTCGTTGCCTTCATTGAGGAGCTCAGCCTGGTCTTCCTGTACAAATGATAGCTTGTTGTCTTTATTGACGAGCTTAGCTTGGTCCTATAACTCGCGTCATCAATATAAGCCTACTTGTGCTAGGTAGTAAATCAAGTAAAAACTCACTTCCGAAAGTACTGTAAAGCCGATGAGTACGTGCTTGTCCCACCAAAACGCTTGAGCCCTATCGAAGAAGAAGCTCAAGGCTAGCAAGACCGCCAAGGTAGACTTCGATCGCAGCATCGTGTGTTGTTACGAGATGATGAGGTTGAGATCTGAAGCGACAGTGCGGGAAAGAGATATCCATCTACATATACATATATATATATATATATTTATCCATCTCTGTCCTCGAGCCGTACGAGTCGCGATTTCCACGTCGGTTAAAAATAATCGTCCACGGCTCCCCCCTTCACCCGACCCGGCACATTTCCATGTCGAGAATCGCATCCCAAATATAGCGTCCAATTTCCCGATTTGAGGCGTAGCCAACCCCTACCTGAAAAGGGCCAAAGTGGGGCCCCCACTCTGAACGGTCCGGACCGTCTTCGGACCGCCTCTCTCTCCCAGATGGTTCCCGGACTTTTACTGCACAGTAGGATGGATGGATGGCCAGTGGACCGACCACCCCGCCGTCACGACTTATTAAAAGTAAGATTGAGATTGTGCCCTCATAAAATCCACGTTTCAGGTGATCTGAATCGTGCGTAGTACATAGTAGCTGGAATGGAGACCGATGGACAGAGGTACCGGTAGGCAGGTCACCGCGGTCGAAGTGTCGTCACCCTCGCCGACCCACCGACTGCTTTTTTTAACCCTAGTACTACTACCGGTAACGGTACTTGGGGTCTGTGAAGTGAAATGAGGTTCTGCAATGCTTGCCGTGCCTAGGTACGTACAGTAGCGATCACGTTACTGCCCAAGCGGGTTAGAGGCCGATCGGAGCCGTGGGTCGACGAGGGTTACGCCACGTCGCCGCTGTACGTACCGTACCACTGTCCGTCGACTGCGACGATCGATTATCCAAGTCCGTTTTGTTTTTTTCTTCTTCTCTCCTTCTTTTCCGAGAACCTTTTCACTCGATTGGACCGTCGTGTATGCAAGTAAAAAGTCGGTCGTTGGTAACCGAAAAGACTATCCTGAGAACCATCCTACTACTGGTATTCCCCCCCATGAATAATACTACGTACTTGTAGGCAGCATCACGCAATAAAAGCCTACCTCATCCGTGCCACCCTGGGATCCTGCCCTTGACGTACAGCAGTACAGTACCGTACAGTAGAAGCGTACCTAGTCAAGCTATCCTCGATGCTTAAGAAGGGCCAAATCCACACGAGATAAGATCTTAATCGGTTGATACTATTTTCTTCATTCCCATTGGCTTTAAGTAAAAAAACCTGGTGTACTCCACTACGTACTGTATTAGTACCGGTAGTACTACCTTAAAGGCAGGTAGGGGGTCATTTGAACGGTCCTCTGACCCTCTTTTATAAAAGACGGTTATTAGACCGCTTAAATTCAGTACTAATCTCTTTTCAGTAATAGTTTGCCGAGAAGACCGTCCCATTGAAAGAGACCGTTTTGTGGCCGTCCCATAGCCATCCCCGTCCATATTTTTAAAACAGGCTTATTAATAAGCTCGTTTTAAAAAATTGAAATAGTTCGATAACTATTTCAAACAAAATATAGTTGTAAATGAAAACCATTTCTTAAATGGAATCGTTTTAGTAATAATTTAATAAATTCGATGCCAAGATATTTCTCGGTATCGCTGCTACGGCTTATATATCAACGCTTTAAATTTTTAATAATCGGAATCGATCGATTTAGTAAAAGTTCACCCGCGCAGATGCGCTTTTATAGCACCCGGGGAGGAGGGGGGGGGGGGCGGGTGGTGATAAGGGGGTGGTATACCTACTAGAGGGTAGACTGCTAAGCAATTGAAAAAAAAAAAAAAAATTGCTTATTAATCAACGTTTTTCGGGACGGTTTCAAGTTCGGGGACGGCCTTGGGACGGCCTTGGGACGGCCACAGGACGGTCTTAAAACGGTCTTTTCATAAAAAGACCGTCTTTTATAAACGACTATTTAATCGATTAAAACCGTCTTATTTTAGTAATAATCTTTTCACGAAAAGACGAACTCTTATAAAAAACGATTCAATCGATTGAAATAGTTTTTTTTTAGCTACGATTTAAATAATTTAAATCGTTTGTTTTCAGATTCTATTCAATTTTAAGTATCGGCTTAAGGTGATCCACTAGCTATGCCAACCTCTTGGAATCGTCTTTTAAAGAGACCGTCATCGGATTATCAGCTGACGGTTTAAATGACCCCTTACCTGCCTTTAAGGTACGACCGAGATCTCCCAGTCTTATCTAATCTAATCTAATATAATGTTGAGCTAAATGTGGATCCTGGCTAAGACCGTAAACTGTTAAAAATGCGGTCACCTGACTTACACCTGCAACGTTGATTGGGTGCATCCATTTGAGCTTAGACCATCAAGGAACACCAAAAACTTGACTAAGCGCTTATTAATGTGGAAAAGGAGGTTTTGCGGGTGTAACGGGCTAGATTTGCGTTTCTGCGATTGAAATCGACTTTTCGACTTTTTTTTATCGACTTCTTTTAATCGACTTTTTTTAAACGACTTTTTTTAAACGACTTTTTTTAATCACTTTTTTTAAGACCTGTTATTATAAACTATTTTCTTTTGAAAAATAGCTAACTAAAAAAAAAAAAAGCTCGAAAACCAACTTGCTGTATCGCTTTAAGAAGGGCTGTTGCTACAAATAAAATGCTTGAAAGATACTAAAGTAGTTGCATCGAGCTAAAAAGGTCTGTAATTAGCTGCACCGAGCTGAAAAGAGCTATTGCTATAAGTTAAATGTTCGAAAAGTAGCTGGTTGCATCGCGCGGAAAAAAGCTATTCTATAAGAAAAATACTATATAAATACCTATTTAAGAGATAGCTAGCTGCATCGCGCTAAAAGAAGCTATTATTATAGATTATATAGCTACGAATATTACACCGCGAAGTCCGGAAAACTTAGCTTGCGGCCGGGCTGAAGCGTCATATTTTCTTTACATCCTTTTAAAGAGTATTTCTTATAGAAAATCGATGCGGAAGGCAGCCTCGCACCACGACCGGGCGAAGCAAGGTCTCCTCTGGCCCCGGAGCTTGCGGAGGGCAGCCAGAGGCAAGACCTTTGTATATCGGTAATCGTCGGCTCGCTTAGGTGGGCCTCCTTATAGCCTTTCAGTCTACGATTATTGCCCAACCTAAGTTCCAAATCTTAACCACCAAACAAGACTTTTCGCAATTTACCCGCCCGTCACAACATGTGCGATTCTCGCTATATGATCTCTGATCATTGCTAGTACTGTCCTCCGCGCGGTAGCCTCGTGTAGGGGCTCATCAAGATTGGGCCAGTTTGGGACTGCGGCCTTTGTATGGTGGATCCCACCAGCATCATAACCGGCCTTGTCGAATCCGTATGTATCGTATCCTTCACGGGAGTAGACCTCCAGGATTTCTTCCTGGGTGGCATAGTTCAGGTCCCCATCCACCCCCCAGCCATGTTCCCACCTGTTATCAGCCTGCTCCGAAGCGAGATCCGAATCCCATTTTTGGCAAATTTCATCTTTGTTACTTGGATCTGGGCGGAAGGGTTGTTTACGGATATGTTCAGGTACCGTGTCGCCCATCTCCATAGGCCAAACTCCATCCGAAACCAAAAATTCCTCCAACTTGGACCCTAAGTCCGGCCGCAGGCATCGAGGAGTTGAGCGACGACTCCGTTGGAAGATTCCTTGCATGTGAGATGTGAAGCTGGCAGGCCATATTTCCGTCTCGGTCGTGAATATAAGATGACTGGGGCAGATGAACCACGCTTCGTGTGATGTCTGGAGTCCCAGGAAGAGGCCCCAAACATGGCAGGATTCCAAGCTCAAGGCATTTCTCAAGTGATGGAAAAGACCTTCGAAACTCCCTTGCCACAACGCCATTCCACTGAGCTCCAAGTTCTTCAGAGTGGCATGTCGTCCGAGGAATCCGGAGAGACCTTCCTCGCAGAAAACCATTCCTTCCAGTCTCAGTTTTTTCAACCTCTTCCACGTGTGATCTCCGAAGACCTTCCGAAGTGGTACGTACCAGTCGCCAGGATCGTTACTATTCTGCCAGGTACCAAGATTCATATCGCTATCGCAACCCTCCAGAGGAGAAAATCCGAGGCGTAGGTCCTCGAGTCCTGGGATTGCGCAAAGCACAGTACCAAGCCCTGTCCAGAACACCTTTTTGGGTGTCTCTGTTGCGTTCAAAGAGAGGTGGATGGTACGCAGGTGGTGGAACGCAGGTATGAAGGTTTCAAGATCGAGTGAGCTGAAGAATGTAACCGGTACTTCGTCATGCTTCAAAGACTGTAGCTCGCGGTTACTTCCTTGAATACACAGTAGCAGAGTCTTGAACTCCTCATTCGCCTTCTGCATGTAGGCGGTATGGGTCCCCTGCTTCCAGGAGTCGAGTAGATCTTCATTCGCCCAGGTGATGGATTTTCTGGTAACTTGAATATTCTTGACAGCGATTGCAGAATTGAGGATCTGTGTGAGACGATGTGCGTCCTGATAATTTTGGTGGGCCCAGTGTACACTGATATTCCATTTCGCACTGTTAAATACTGGTTAGTTCAGGCTCTAAATTTGGGTTGAGATCTGAGATCATTGAGGGAGCGTCAGATTATCGTTTTTACCCGAAGATGGGTTCACATGATATCTGAGAGGGCTGTGTAACTTACTACTCCAAAGATGCATTTTCAATTTGGGAATTCAATTTTGTCAGAACACCATCATCCCTCCGGCCTTGATCAATCATACTCTGGTAGTAGTTGTTCATGAAGCTATAGCTCGATCCCAGCCAATTGGCCATGAAGAAAAGCCCCATCTCCCCAATCTCGAAACGAAGCGTCTCGATGCCCTCGATAATACATGGATTTTTCATGAGTTCTCCGAATCTCTCGAAGTCTTTTCGGTCGCGGCGGAAGACAAACGTAGGTTTGCATAAATATTTGGAAGCAATGTCGTGCAATGGTCTCCACGACGCACGCACTGATTTGATATCTTCCAGATCTAGATCACGGATAATAATATCCCATAATTCGGGAGGAATGTGTAGGAGGCTAGGTAGCAGGGCCGGAATCTCGCTCGATGCTGTTTGAAAGGGGTGGGATTAGCATCTGTGAGTTCGACTGCGTGACCAACTGGATTAATGAGGACATACCAGATGATATTAGGGTACATGAGTCTAGGTCCCGAGACTCTTGATTATTACTCATAATCGTGGTAGATTCTGTTGTCGAATATGCGACAAGTCAGAGGGTTGATGTTGGAAGATGGGTAGCCATAGATGTTGGAAGTTGAGGAGCAAAAAATGTTGGAAGATGAAGAGCAAAAGCTGCGCAAATGGTCACGTATAAGAAGTATTGGGAAGAATGCGCTGCTAATAGGTGCTAACACTTAATAGTTTAGTCTAACTATTCTAGTATCGTTTGATAGCTCAGGACTAGCACCGGCGGATTCAGCCCAGCTTCACTCACTCATCTCAACAAAGACGAATCACAGCTACAAATCAATCTACCACGGTACAGGCCTAAGTATTACCCCTCGAGGGTGCCTCAAAAGTTTAGTTTCCACTTTAAACCCCCCCGGTTACCCTACCCTCG